GCGAAAGTCTCAGATTTCACTTTCACTCTTGATGGATTTGCCATCTGTTATACCGACGGATCCTGCATCACTCATTTGCAAATTTCCGGAGTTGGAGTTTGGTTTGGAAAGGACCACGTTGCGTAAGTATTTTTTTTCGCTCATTTCCTCAGTTACGATGGCCTGAAAATTCAAAAAATTGAATGCAACTCTGTACTCGGCTCGTTTGTTCATTTGTTCAGTTTCGAATTACCTTTGTATATTATATGGTAGCTTGATGACCATTTTTGTATTTCAAAGGAGGGCAATCCGAAATATTTTCTGAATACCGGCCGAATTTCGCTCAACCGGGTACGAGGTAGGTAGGCCTTACAAGGAATTCAACCCATGAATATGGGAGGAAGTGTTCTTCACACAATCTTCTATTATTTATGCAAGAATAGGCAACTAAACACTGTGCTGCAGCATTACGTTGCAGTAAACCGAACAATTTTAATTGTACAATTATAAAAAATCTCCCAACTTGGGACTATCCACAATTCAGCTATGTGTTGATTCTGCTGAATGAGATGAAACAGTTATAGAATACAATCCTTTGAAGACCATTTCCCCGAAAAATCCAGTGGTATATTGTAATGCGTGTAGTTTGTGCATGTGATACAGCGTTTGTATCAGTAATTTTCTTGATGCGCGAGACAAGTGCTGTAAACTGTAGGAGAATTTTGTGAAATCTAAATGAATGATGCGCACGAAATCAAAACAGCCGATCAGTAGAAAATTAATTCATTATTATGTGTTATTCTGAGGAGGGGTGAGCTACTGTGATGATGGTTCTTCAGCATAGGAGTTGTATCACTGAGTTTCCAGTCTCAGAGATGACACATTCACTAGCCCGAGTGTAAATTAAACGCAGTACAGTTTTCTAATGCTCTTATTCTGACGCTTTTGATGGACTGCTAGCTTGCCTTTCGACTAGGAAATGACCGAGATTCTGGTTTTGCGTGCCCGTTTTTCTGGGTTTTCCCGAAGACTAATTGAGCTTGCTTTAACAAGCTTGCTCGTTAACTAGCTCGCTCATTGTACAGTAGGCGGCCAAAAAGTTGTTCAACTGACACTTTACCGCGCGATAGTTCCAGCTGCTTTTCTTGGAAGTATTCGCAAGAATTTCCGTCATCAACTGTTGTGGTGAAATTTGTTGGCATGAGAGTCTTGTTCAAATTTTTTATGAGGTCAAAAACTGCGAATGATATTCTCGGATTAGTTCAATAGAGATCATTGGTATTATGAAATCTAGTCTGAAGGAGGGATATGCTCGACAGATCGTACACATCGTTCGTCGAATTTTTGTTTAATCCTTCTTTCATTTTTTTTTTGCAGGAACATTTCAGAGCCATTGCCCGTTCCGGGCACAAGTAACCGTGCAGAACTGACTGCCGTGCTCTATGCGATCCACGTTGCAAAGGAAGCCGGTATAATTAAAAAATTTACTCAATCCGCATCCTATAGTGTGATAAATTCACCCTTATGTTATACTTCAGGTCTAAGTAAGTTGGAGGTCCGTACCGATTCGACATACACCAAGAATTGTGTCACTGTTTGGCTGCCGAATTGGAAAGGGAACAATTGGCAGACAACCGCGAATAAAGATGTCCTGAATCAAAAGGAAATCCGAGCTATCGACGAAGCCTTCAATTATGTGGAAGTGAAATTTGTGAGTTCTTTATCAAGTATAATTTCGCCATGAGAAAATTCACTTGTATACTTAAGGTAATGTTTTAATGGATCAAATTTGTGTCTCCTATTGAATGTTTCTCTTGTTTCATCAGTCACTCTGGATACCGTATTCAGAGCATACTATATCATTAGACTGAAAAATTCCTTCGCGCACAAGAAAAGTTATTTTATTAGTGTGCCTTGAGATTGGTTGCGTGATCATTATCTGCAATATTTGCGCATGAAGTTGTTACGACATTCTTCAATTTAATGTAGTGTTCTTGAAGAATCATGCATCTATCCGTGGAAATTAAGAGATTACTGTGTGTTACAAATATGAAAAGTTAAAACAAAATAAAAAGTGATGATGATCATGTACACTAGTTCTCCTTGTTCTCGGTGTTGCTTTCGTCTATGAATGCTTTTTATCTTCACTGCTGGCTTATTTTTCAATTATTAATGCGTAATTTCTTTTTACAATCTTTTAGAAGTGGATACAAGCTCATTCCGGCGAAGAAGGAAACGAAGCTGCGGATCGATTGGCGAGGCTTGGTGTGGATAAATCCTTGAGAAATTCTGAGAGTTGAAACTGGCCCATTTCTCGGATGTCTGAAGCATTTCGAAGATTGTATGATCTCTAACAATCTCCGGGATTTTCTCTCCAGAAGCAAGGAAAAGTGAAACAATGAGTGAACTTCAAGCTTAGTGCATTCGTGCGAATGAAAAGTTTCCAGTGTACTTAACTTTTTAGAAGGTCGCCAAGTTGTTTTCCTCAAATGCGCCGCGCTCACTAGTGCCAGTCCTGCTTAGGACTTGGCGCTCCTTTTTTTCGAATCGTGAATGGCGTAAGAACGGTATGATTGGAAATTGTAAGGAATATGAGGGTTGTCCCACTTATAGTGTTGAGTATTTTTAAAGTAGGTACCATTGTAAAAAAATAAAAATTAGCTCATGCAATCGTAAGGTTCTGAGATTTTTATAACATTTTTTGAGTGAAAACTTTCCAGTTCTGGTGAGAGTTCTCCGCTCTCGTCACAAGCTGTATTTGTTTTCTACTACATCTTCTGCAATTTCCAAATTTTTCAGTGATTATTTTGTTTGCAATAAATCAAAACTTAAGTGCATTCTGAATTTCTCGAAGAGCAAGGTTTTTTTTTCAATCTTTTCTATTTCCTTGTCAAAAACACCATCAAAGGCCTAGTTTTTGCCTGTGAAATTTTTCTCAGTACTTCGAAATTTTATAAAACTTTTTATTGCAATCTTCTGCCTTGAGGTTAGAAAGCAGGATGTGATGTATGCCCAAGTCCGGTTAAATATTTTCCCGTGAATCAGCCAATTTTCTTCCTGGTTCCCCAGGATCCTCTCCTGTCTTCTTTATTTTTCTTATCAACCAGCTGAAAAATAAAATGAACGAAATTTATTTTAAAATTTCATGGTGAAAAGAAAAATGGCACAGTCAGAAACTAGGCCTTGGATGGAGAACCTTGCGATTGCATGGGCTGTACTTTTACATGTATACTTTTTACAATGGTACCTACTCCAGGAATACTCTACTGGAACAGGATAAAACTACTAATGGTGGCTTTCTGAGAAAATTCGAGTTTGCAAAACGCAAACTTCTCCAGAATTGCTTATTGGACGTTGTAAAAAAGATGTTTTGTTTAAAAAAGGGAGGAATCTTTGCATGAGGAAATTCGTCCCGATTCTTCCGCATCATTTGGAACAATTTCGCGAAAGTAGCCGTGTATGTGAGCATGAATACAAAATGAAACAAACCAGAAAACTCACCGAACACGATCCTTGTGCTGTTGGAAGACGCTTCTTGTTGGTTTTCGAGATACAAACTTTGTCTGGTTGTAGTATAAAGAAATTTGTGTTAACCTGAGGTTCTGTTATTCAGCTGTTCCATTTTTTCTTACAAATATTGTTCTCTAGGTCGTACTTGGAACATTTTAAGTGGAAGTATTCTGCATTGGTCTTCATGCGGTATTACGCTTGTCAGAAGGTGTCCACCCCGGGATTTACAATTCTTTGTATGTAATCTTGAGTCCACCATTCTAGAATATTGGTCTGCTCAATTTTTTTTTCTTCATCTAGGGGAGAATGCTAGCAGCAAGTGTCTAGGCTTAGCGGAGTGCAGGAATTTCAGTATTCCGGAAGAGGCGGAAAATTACATGAATGTTCTGGCACGTGCCTTGGTGAGTTTTGTTCCCCGGTTCGGAAATTATATGCGCGATTCTCAACGTCATTGTTTTACACTTGTTCAGATTATGAAATCAGGAAGACAACTATACCAGCCTTGTGGCTCGAATAACTTCAAGTTTTGAAAAGTTAATCTTAGTTTTTAACATGAATTTTTTTTTCACTTGGTGGGTTGCATAAAACCGCCCTAATTTGCCTCTACACTCTTCATCCACCGAAACTCATGTCCGATGTGCGAAGCTCCTCATGCTTCTATTCTTGAAGCTTTTCCTCCCCTGTATAATCATATCCAGCCATTTGGAGTACTTCTTGCTATAGTACTGTAGTACAAAGTACTACATTTTCTCTGTCCTGAAGAAAGGGCCACAGTTTTCTTTTGATGGCAGTGCCATGATACGATCTTGGTACGGAAATTTCTTGGCATCATTCTGGCCGCACTCGGAAGCTGAGTACGAATTCAAATTTGCAAGATCAGTGTTCCTCAACCTCATTTGCTCGCGGACCTGCAAATTCTAACGAAATCTTTCGCGGACCGGCAAATTGTTGTGAAATTTTTCTGAAGACCAGCAAAGTTCCAGACAATTTTTGAGGACCAGGGAAATTTTTAAAAATGTAGTTATTGTCAGCTGAAATAGAGAAGTAGAATGTCCCAGAAGTTGTTCGTTACCCATCTCTAGACCGCGGAGGATCAATTTTCTTCCTCATCTGTTGAAGGGCTTTGTTTCTGTTGCCAATTTTGAGGTGTTTTTCCCAAGCAGGTGTTGTCTGGGGCAAATCTTTTTTTAATTCTTTTTGCTGACCGGAGTGACTACTGCTCGGAAAGATTTATGAGGACTGGAAGTTTCAATTTGCATAGGCCACCTGGAAGGTGTAAATATTTTCACTGTCAGTGACGTGATTTGTGTGGTAATTTTTTTTCCTGAGGTAGGGGTTGACTCGACGTGACAAAGAAGTCGTGTCGTGTCTGCCAAAATGCCCATTCGACGGTGAAACCCTTTTTTGTTTGTTCCTGAATAGAGCAGGGTGTTTCTGACGTGGGATCGGGATCAGATTTCGGAGGATATTTCAGATCTTCGCTAAGTTTCGAAAATGCCATCCTGCTTACCTCTGGCGAGGAGTTCCACGAAAGATTTGGCATTCTAAGTCCGAATGATGGGGAAATGATTTCGCAAGAATGAATCTACCTAATCGAAACTCTCGCGATGAATTTCCTACTGGCGCTCGTGGATCAGCGTAAAAGTTCAAATCGATCCTTGAAAATTGAAAGGCAGCTTCGTTTGAGGATTGGGGTTTTTGTCTGTTCCTTCCAGTTTGGATAAACGCGCTTTAAATTGGATTTCTGACTCCACCAATGGCCGACAACGGTTTTTTTTTCTGCTGTTTACCACTTCCATCGCTTCATTCCCGGAAGATGGTGGGGGTTCGTTCGGAAAAAACGCCAAGATTTTAGTCCTTTGTACAGGAAGTAGGTAACAAGCAGTTTTACAACTTAATTGATGGGCCATTGAGTTTCGCGACAGTGAACGGAAGACAGCTGCATGAATAGCTTCCGACGACAAACACTTCCGGAATGGAAGCCGTTGACGGGGCCCCGAAAAAAATAAAGGATTATATTTGTGTGGACAATTGAGAATGTAAGAGTCTTCATTTCCTTGCTTCGGGATAGTTTATAGGAACTTCAAGAGGAAGTAAATAAATGTGCTGAGAATTACGAAAGTGATCAAATGAGTTCGATCTTTTGTTATCATGCACGTGTTGTGTTATGCCTTCGTTCTTTAATGTTGAAAAAAGAGCGATTGGACGAGCGAGGTGGAAAATTTCTTTGTTCAAAACTGCGGACTTCGAAGAATCTTGTAATATATCCTGATGAAGTGATAAATGTTGGGGCTGAATATTTTCAATTTAACGATTCAGAGAAAGGCGGATAGAAAAGTGGGACCTTTTTTTTTCAATTTGGCGGCATGTTCATCCTTTGTGTCCGTGAGAGTGACACCCTATTGTGGTTACCTTGTCCTGAATGGGGAGATCAGACGGATTCAGCGACATTGAGAAATCGCTCGGAACACTGACGACATGGGTAATCGTCTAGACCGTGGAGGATCAACTATCTTCCCCAGATGTTGAGGGGTTTTGTTACTGTTTTTAGTTTTGAGATGTTTTTCCCAAGCAGGTGTTGTCCGGGACAATTCCTTTTGTAATTGCTGACTGGAGTGACTACTGCTCGAAAGATTTATCAGGACTGGAAGGTTCAATTTGCATAGGCCACCTGGAAGCTGTAAATATGTTGACTGTCCGTGAGGCAATTTGTGTGGACATTTTTTCTTTTCTTTCTGAGGAAGGGGGTGACTCGATGTGACGAAGAAGCCGTGTCGTGTCGGCCAAAATGCCAATTTTGGCAGATACTTTTGGCAAACTGCGGAACAGGAAACCGTAATTCTGTTCAATTTTGTCAAAGTGGTTGCCGAGATTCGCTGTCGGTTCCTGTTGTTTTGAGCGGTTTCAAGGTTTTTGGGGTGAGCTTGTCTGCTTGAATGACGCTGAACGTCGCCCCGTTAGTGCTACACCATTTAAATTGGGAGTGAACTAAACTTCCTGATTTTTGAGTCAAGTTCTTGCTCGAATAGGTAACCTATTGTGGTTACCTTGTCTTGAATTGGGAGATCAACGGGTGTCATCGACATTGAGGGATCAACTCCAGCACTGATGTTTTGCATGGGCATTGAACACTTGAAGATTCATGCGAGAATCGACATCCCACTGATGAGAGATTGACATTGACTTAGTGTTACATGTCGGCGTACGGAAGATCAACCAGGAGAAAACAACGCAAGAGGTTTAAGCCGGCTTAAGCTGTCGGGGAATGTTGACCACCACAATGGTGGCCAGCTACTGGCAGAGTTACCAAACTTTGTTTTCCTTGCTGATTTTTAAATACATATTAGTGGTGAACTTCCCAGCCTCGAGATTATAGTAGCAATTTTTTCCGAAAAGCGGTGAATTGCATTTCATTTTAATATCTTCGTAAAAAACTGCTGCTATAATCTTGGGGCTGGGAGTGCAGCAGAATTTTACCGATAATACGTATTTGACTGGGTACCAATGTGGGGGCGAGAAGAGGTAAAATCGGAGGGGTTGTTTTTTGGAGAACCTGTGTTGTTATGGTGCAGCTGTTGGAAAATCGGCAAGGTCTCATTGTGATGATTTTTTGAGTAGTGTTTGTTTTCACTGAGTTTCCAGTCTCAGGAATGCTGAAGAGGCGCTTTTTCCGAACGAACCCCCACCATCTTCCGGGAATGAAGCGATGGAAGTGGTAAACAGCAGAAAAAAAAACCGTTGTCGGCCATTGGTGGAGTCAGAAATCCAATTTAAAGCGCGTTTATCCAAACTGGAAGGAACAGACAAAAACCCCAATCCTCAAACGAAGCTGCCTTTCAATTTTCAAGGATCAATTTGACCTTTGACGCTGATCCACGAGCGCCAGTAGGAAATTCATCGCGAGAGTTTCGATTAGGTAGATTCATTCTTGCGAAATCATTTCCCCATCATTCGGACTTAGAATGCCAAATCTTTCGTGGAACTCCTCACCAGAGGTAAGCAGGATGGCATTTTCGAAACTTAGCGAAGATCTGAAATATCTTCCGAAATCTGATCCCGATCCCACGTCAGAAACACCCTGCTCTATTCAGGAACAAACAAAAAAGGGTTTCACCGTCGAATGGGCATTTTGGCAGACACGACACGACTTCTTTGTCACGTCGAGTCAACCCCTACCTCAGGAAAAAAAATTACCACACAAATCACGTCACTGACAGTGAAAATATTTACACCTTCCAGGTGGCCTATGCAAATTGAACCTTCCAGTCCTCATAAATCTTTCCGAGCAGTAGTCACTCCGGTCAGCAAAAAGAATTGAAAAAAGATTTGCCCCAGACAACACCTGCTTGGGAAAAACACCTCAANGTTCCCCTTTTATGGCTTTTCCCCAAGACTAATGGAGCATTCTAACAAGCTTGCTTGTTAACAAGCTCACTTGTTGTACAGGAGGGAGCCAATTAGTTTTCAACAGTTACGCTACATTGCAGGTGCAACCGCGCGTTATTCACAATTGTTTCTCTTGCAAAAATGTACAAATATTTCCACATCTCATCTTTCAGTGGCGAGTTGTTCTGGGTTTAGTCCAAAAGCCCTCCCTAGGTCAAAAGCCAACCCTTGGTGAAAAAATTAAGGATTACAGGTCTCCTTGTAACTCTTGATGGTAAGCTGCACCTTTCACCAGCAGTGATTCTTTGAATGTCAAAGCATCCTCACTTGCTGACTTCTGTAAAATCTACAGTTCACCTTGTTGATCAAATGGCTCGTGCACTTCAGATCATCAAAAATCAGAAGGGTGGTGAAAAGGCATACCACAATGGCTATTTATTCATGGTTAAGAGCACAAATGCCAGTACAGCACTAGGTGCTGGAAATGTGCTAATGAAGAAGGAGATGAGATAAGAGGGCCACATTGAGAGAATCAGTGACACTGAGGAAGAGACTGCAGAAGGCAATTTTGAAGATGATTATTCAACAGTCATTTTGAGGACTAATGAAACCAAGCAGCCCTTCTCAGAGCCACCAAACATTGTTATGAAACTTGCATTAAAAAAAAAATGCTGGGGGGGCTTTTGACCTAAAGGGGTTTTTTGTTGAGTATCAGTTGTTCTGCAGAATTTCTTCCTTCTCTGTTGAAACAATAGTCGCGGGTGATGGAAAAACTGAGGAAATAGACACAAGAAAGTGAAACAGGAAAGCGTAATTCTGTACAATTGTGTCGAATGGGTTGCTGCAATTTGCTGTCACTTCCCTTCCATGCTTTTGTTGTTTTTGAGGTGAACTTCTTTTCCTATTAACGCTGAACGTCTCCGCGTCAAAACCTAAGTGCTATACTTCTCAGTGAACTCAACATTTTTTTTTTCGTGTCAAGTTCTTGCTGGATTTTTCGCAGCGAATCGCTGCATGCAACTGCCGTAAGTTGACCGGAGTCACTCCCCTCAATTTTCTTTGTTCAACGCAATGCTGATTTTCAGTTATTTGTGCCGAATAAACAACCGGTTGCCTACTGTTGACGTTTTCCGATTTTTCGCACCTTTATCGTATTGTTTTTGCTGGACTCCGTTATTGCTGCGCTGAGTCAGTCGTCCTGGTCTCCAAAAAATGCAGTATATGAGATGATAATTTAATTGTGCTTATAGCCGGTTTCTCAATTTTCTGAACTTTGGTTCAGTTCGAGTAAATTAAATGTGTTCGAATGATATCTTGAGCTTCTAGAAACATTTTATTATTTATTTTTAGCGAGACTCAATTTCAGTATTGTAATTGATTCTCCATGATAATTTCTATATTGCGTTGCGGAAAAATTTTGAGCAGAAATATTGATTCGTGCTAATTCTTCGCCTCAGTGAAATTTCTGGGTTAAATGCAAAGATCGCCATGGAAATTCAACTTCCTTCATTTCTCTCTAACCGCCAAATTCGCGATGTAATTTTTGCCCATCCTTTTCGTATATATCGACTACAAAACATTTAATTTGGGTGTAGTCCAAAAGCCCCCCTTGGTTCAAAAATTGGGGATTACAGGTACAGTATTCTTGTAACTCTTGATGGTGAGCTTCCCCTTTCACCAGGTATTCTTGACCCAGGGGGGCTTTTGGCAGGGGGGGGGGGCTTTTGGTTGGGTCCTTTTAATTTATTGATTGAGTTCTACTTGCAATTTTACGCGAACATCACAGAAACACTCCGGTCAGTGTCATTCACTAATTCACTGTCTCGTCCTCAACTAATCATTTCTTCTTAAATCCATTTATCCGAATATTTGGCGGCCAAAAAAATGTAATAAATGTCCAGCCATTCGAATGGGCCTCACACTGTTCTTGTTATTCCCGGTATTACTGTTCCCGGAAAAATCTCCCTGGATTAAAGTTAATCCCATGATGCATGGAATACTGTGGGAAAGTTCCTGGGTATCTCACCGTGCAAAATTGTTCATAATCCAGTATGGAGACGAAACATCTCCCTGACTAATTGCTAGACGGAGATTAACGTAACAGATCGGATGAAAAATGTCACTCAGGCTATTCGAAACCGACGAATTGCATTTAGGTGTGGGAAAGGCCATGCATATTTCGAAGGACATCTCAGGGGGGTCCAACACTGTATAAAACGTGACGGGTCCGGCAAAATTATCTCATTCACTGGATTCCGTCTTCGAACTACGGTGTCTCGTCCGTCGAGTTGCTCTTTGAATATTGCGAATGTAGTCAACGGAATATAATAGTGTCCCGAGTGATTCTCCCGCTGGAGATATTTTCCTGCGTGCCTGGTGTGCCTCTTGAAAAAAATATGCGTGATTGAGGGCAATTAATTTGCATTACCCATGTGTGATGTGCAAGAAAGATCGGCACTCATCCATGGAACCGTGCGAAGTAGAGACGCGTATAATATGATATATATTCTATATCAAGTGTTCCCCAACCTTTTTCGGCCAGCGAACCGGTAAATATCCAGAAATTTTTTACGGACTGGCTGAGTATCATATACTTGAGGTAGGACAAAATTTTTTTCTTCGAAAGATTTAGTGGGAGACATTTCAGAAATTGCTGTTTTTTTTTTGTTGCGAAAATTAAGAACTGACGAAGCAGTTACATAGTGTAATATCTTCAAAAAATGAGAAAGTTGGGCTAGAAGAAAGGTTTCTCAGAATGAAAAATTGAAATCATTTCTTCAGCAGGGGAAACATTTTTGAAGTGCTATCGGGAGAAAAACCGAAGTGTAACTTTTCATCAGATATTTTCAATGTTTCAGATAAACGAGAACAGACTTCATTGCTAATCTTGACAATTTACTACGCTGTAGAAAATGTTTCATGGACCAGCAAAAAACTTGCTGGAGGTTCGGGGAACACTGATCATAAGGGTGCAGGAGAAAATCCCGTGGGAGAAAAAATCCTGCGTCCCGAAAATCCCGTGAGGCCGAAAATCCCGTAGGCCCAAAAATCTCGCGGGGTCCGAAAATCCCGCAGGTACCAAAATCCCGTATAATTCAAAAATTGCAATGTTTTCTCCGAGTTTTCCTTCCAAATGAAATGGTGAAAGTGTGGGGGGTTTCCTTCTAAGGATTATCCAAGGTTTAGGAATTACCTCTCTCAATAGAACCTCAACTTCACCTCCTCACCTTTCTCCCAAGGAAACGTGAGAACAATTAACCTTCATTTGGATCAGGACTTCATCCCTGTATTTGTTTCACATTTCCAATTATTTTAAGCTCTACTTTGTCATCGAAACATGAATTCTTGCATAAGAAAAACCTCCTTTGATATCTTTATATGTTGATGGTCTGTAAATAATTTCGCACACTTTCACCATTTCATTTGGAAGGAAAACTTGGAGATAAATTGCAATTTTTGAAGTATACGGGATTTTGGTACCTGCGGGATTTTCGGAACCCGCGAGATTTTTGGGCCTACGGGATTTTCGGCCTCACGGGATTTTCGGGCCGCGGGATTTTTTCTCCTACGGGATTTAAAACGTTAAATTCAATCTCTGGTGTTCATCTTGATGGTGAATTTTTTTCCTATTGAAATTAAACGCCGATTTGCAGTGCTGATGCCAGATGCCACGAATCTGTTCTTGTTTGAGACAGAAATGTGAAAGTTCCTATCTCGGCGAGACGAAACTGCTGGTTGTTCAGTGGTATGTTAATCCTGCAACAGTGGTATGACTAAGGATTTGCTATTTGTTGATGTGCGGGATTAATTTTCCATCGAAGTGTGAGGAGTATGAGTATTCTAATGACAGGCAGCATTTTTCACCTCACCAGGATGGGGAAATATTACCAAACTGGAAATGATGTTACTGTATTTCCAATTTCATTATTCTGTTTGCGAAAAAGCTGATGTTCTTCTCAGCAGAAAAGATCGTAGTCGGAAAGTCGTTATCGTGTCTCGATTTAATTTTCCGATTCATGGAAGTCTTTTGAGAACATTTTTCCTTGATTCCAGATCTTTCTTGTAGAGGGAATGAATTGACATCCGCTGAAGAGAGTTGGTCGGTAAGTGAATTGCTTGAAACTAGGCTGAATTCCAAAGGAGAACTTAATTGCAAACTTCTGTGGAGTTGAACTCCGAGATGAAACCACCGCAAAGCTTTCAACACGTAAATCACCATAAATCAGTCTTATTCAAGTTTTTTTTACACATTTTTTATTTGAATTGGCTTAATTTTTCTCATCATGCTAGGAAATTTTACGAGTTCACGAGAATGCCTTGTTTTCATTAATTTATTATGCTTTTTAATATTTGCTCACAGGTTTTGACGTGAACCTTGAAATACCGGCAAGTGTTGCTACGAAGTATAAATCTTATTTCGGAGGCCTACGAACGTGCAGCGTCGGCGAATTGAAAATCTGTTCGTATAGAGTCTATAGACACTACTGCCACAGATAAAGAAGAAAACATGGTATTTCAATCCATCATGCCACTGTTACTTTTCTTTTGAAATGCAATCTTTCCAATAGGTGATGATTCCTCAGAGAGTTATGGATGGTGCCCGTAGGGCGTACCTGTCTTCGAGTGGATTTTTATACATGGATGATGGGTATGCGTATTGTTTCGTGGATGGATCCTGCATGGATCCTGTGAGGAACGCTGGTGTCGGAGTCTGGTTTGGACAAGATCATCTCGCGTAAGTACATTACTGTACAATATTTTTGAAGTTCACTTTCTCGGATCATTTGAAGGTCGGTCTTTTTGTTTCTTATTTCTTTATTTATTGAGTGAGGCTGTGTTTCTAGAGTAATAGTGTAATGCACCTAAATTGTGCCTTTGTTTTAGCACTGGTTAAAAATTATGAGCACTAACGTTACAGAAAAATAACCAAAAGACGTTGCACTACGAATTTTGAAATCCACGGAACATTTAGAATGGGCAAAGCTGGCGGAGTTCCTGTTTTTGTTCTAGTCCTCGAGGGAGCAGAAAAATATGATCGCATTTATATACAGACTGTGACAGAAAGTATTTCAGGCATCGTGTTTTCGGAAAAAAAAATATCTCATGGTGTGTGAGAATGATGTTCATGACTGTTACTTTACTTTTGTTGTGGCAGAAACGTTTCGGAGCCCTTGCAAGTTCCTGGAACAAACAATCGTGCTGAACTGTTGGCTCTGCTGTATGCGATCCACGCTGCCTATGGATGTGGTGAGGGATTTTTGTAAACATCTCATATTGTATTTACCGAATAATTTTTACCATCGTTCAAAATGCAGGTTTGCAGATGATTGAGATCAGAAGCGACTCCAAGTACGCCATCAATTGCGTCAGAGTATGGATGAAGAAGTGGAAAAAGAATGGTTGGAGGACAGCCACCAATTCCCCAGTTGAGAATCAAGCTGAAATTCGAGCAATCGATGAAGCACACTCTCTTTTGCACGTGCGCTATGTTAGTATACAGACTTAGTTCATTTTTTGCCCGAACCGATCTTCTGCACGCGTGCTATGTTAGTTTACTGTGCTCATTTTTCAAATGGAAATTGCTCGTGAGATAAACCATCCCAGAGTAATTGTTGTCTCGGATACAAATTTGTATCTCTCCGTAACATTCTTGTTTTCAATGGAATTGCTTGCTTTTGAATTTCTACTGTAACAGTTAACCGGATGCGATCGGGTTGTCTTAAGTGAACTCTCGACCAGTTTTAAATTCGTCGAAAGCGAAGATTTTTGTAGTTGTGAAGAACGAAGAGATTTTTTTCCTCCTCAATGCAGAAACATGCTTGATCCTTTCGAGACGAATTTTTTTCTGTATGAGAAGTGGGAGATGCTACTGTGTTTTCTTGGTTTCTCCTTCGCACATGTTTTCATCAAAATGATGCTTCTGAAATGATTGTATTTTCAGATTTCATTCTTATTTATTTTCCAGGATTGGGTACCAGGCCATTCCGGCGACCCCGGAAATGACGCTGCGGATAGGTTGGCGAAAGCTGGTGCTGCTCAATCGTTGGCAAACTATCGGTATTATAATTCCCGTTACTGAATCACTGTTTTTCGAAAATTCGTCTGTTCCATTTCGTATCTTCGTATGAGACATACGTATGAGATGATTCGGGAGTGTCAGTGCGCTAGAAAAAAAAAACTCGACTCTTCTAGAAACTTTGTTTTTGCGGATATGCAGCGCTATGTCTCCTCTCCTGTGTATAAAAAGTCATTGGAAACTTAATAATCTCTATAAATCGGTTGGTCTGAAAAGTGGATTTCTCCTAGTACTCAATTGTAATTAATCTCTCCCTTATTCGGGTGTGAATTCTACAGTTCAGTACAGTCGTTTCTCTCGCCAATTTGAGGCGGGAAATTCAAACTTTCTGTGAGTGTACAGCTGTTCTCCGGGTTCCATTTTTTTTCGCTTTGAAGGTGTGCTGTGTATTCCGTCCAACTGCCGCTTCTGTTCTGCAAATCTCGATTGTTGAAGTACAGAAATTCCTGCTTTCATTTTATGATACTGTATTAAAATGTTTCTTGTGCTGTATCATTCCGAGCTCATTTTTTTTGTTTCCGCAGGTTCTGTGTGGAAGTAAGGGTGAATCGTTCACATTTGCGGCGTTGAAATTGCGCGAAGCATCGTGTCGTTTCGCATTTCGTTTTCACTCGAATATTGATAACTTCGATTTCATTTCGGAAGTTAATTGGACTCTTGGGATTACGGTTTACCAGAAGCTTAGTTCAAGAAGCTTTGCAACAAACGTAGGTAATGGAATGAATGCTCTCATTCAAGCTGACCGATGTTCGAGCGACGTACAGTTATTCAGCGTGGTGTACTTTCAAACCTCACTCGCATATCCGATCATTTTAATTTTGTTTTCGAGCATTGATGTAAAGTTCTGCTTCAACAGTTCCTGCCACAGATGAAGGAAGGGGTTGCATTGTTTTTTTTTTTAAATTCATATACATGTGGATTTACAATTTATTTTGTGACAAGCCGTCATCAAAAGTTTTCCTACGAGAAGTTACGCAACCAGTGGTTGTGTAAATTTCTTCGATCATAACGCATTTATGTAGGTACTGTACCTTTTCTATCCTTGAGGGAGATCAACACTTGACGAAGGCCAGGTTATAATGATAAATTGCAGAATTAGTGGGGGCGAGCAAAGCAGGACTTGATGAAAGACGGTAGAGAAAAGCCGAAAAGTTCTTAGTCCCCATAACACAGACTGGAGGGTTGCAGAATTGGTCCTGCGGATTGTCAAACAGAAGAAAAACTGCCCGAAAGACGGAAGAGAAAGCCCTCTGAGTCAAAATATTTCCGCGAAAAAATAAAAATGTGCGAGTTGGGGGATCGTGGAAGAAATGTCCTGGGAACAGCAACCGTTTCGAACAGGGAAGTCCAACGGGAAAAGTTTCTGACTTCGTAACGCCTTAATTGCGAAGATTTATTGCCTTGGCGGGGAAAGAAAAATGGTTCGTTCGCCATCTTCAGCTTGTTTTTGGGAAAGAAAAACTAATAAATGTTTTGAGAAGGGTGAATTCTGATGCCCAGAACGTTAAAAAAATAGTTGGCTCTCTGAGCTGACAGTTGAAAAGAAAAAATCCAATGGTGACGTTTAATTTTGGCCTATAACATGCTAAGGCAGTGCCCCGAATTTTTACTGAAATATTATATGGGAATTACACGTTTTAATTTGTTCGAAAATAAAAATATGGAGATGAGGTCTCATTTTCCGTTTACACGGACACTTCTTTTCCTATATGCGTTCTTATTTTCTGGAAATTTTGAATATCGTCTCAGATTTTATTGTATTTATGTTGCTGTTCCGATGGGCGAAGTGGGAGAAAATTTGCTGCTAAAAGGTGTATCTCCTTTCCTCTGAATGTTTTCTATCAGCTTTATTCAAGAAAAATACGGATGATTATCGGTTTTATTTGAAAAAAAAAACAAAGAATCTTAGCATTTGAAGTATAAGCGCCTTGCCCACGATGTAGAAATGCACGACATTTTTCCTGCTGTGTGTGTGTGTGGTGATTTTCATATGAGGTATTATCCTTCTTCGTTCACTGATTTGATGCTTCTGGTATGAAATTATCCCCAAGGTTGACCTGCGGAAGCAGCTTTTATCATTCTCGGCACTCTTATCGGTGAAAATGCCGTTTTACACTGTTCTGCGTGGTGTCATTCCTGGGATTTATTCGTCTTGGTGTGTATAACATATGGAATGTTCAATACATTTTACACTTATAATAGTTATTTCTCCATGATATGTGTTCATGTGTAGGCAAGAATGTGAGCCTCAAGTGTCGAGGTTCAGTAGGAATGAGTACAGGAAGTTCGACACTCGACAGGATGCGGAAAACTACCTGAATGAGCAAGTTGGTACATTCCACGTACATTTTTGAGAATTAAATGTTCCATCAGCATTCAGTATGATGTGACGTTAGAAAAATCGACAAAAATTATATTCGCTTGAAGTTCTTGGATGTTTCCACAGTCCAGTCCTGAATTTTCTGATGCGCCGAATCGATGGCAGAATGATCCCAGAAATTGAGCGAATTACTGGAAAATTGAGTCCGTTCCTTTTTTCGTGTGGATAGAAGGAATCTTGTGTTCAGATAACTTTAAAGACGGCATATTATTACGGTATAATGTTCATCGCTGTTGGTCATGTTACAGACTTACATACTGTAGCTTGTGTTTTGGCTGATTTCGGCAGGGGTCTCAAGTTACTGTCAACAATCGTATCCTAATGGAGCTTTTGCGAATAGTAAAAGATCTTGTGCGCAAGGTGCATTCTCTGGAATCATCGCATGAAGCTGTGAGAGGTGTGCCACAATGTCCCTGTCCGCCAACTGTAAGTTTTCCACCCCTGAGATCTGTGATTTTTTTTAGCGTGTCCCGGAAGGAGCTCAATGAAATTACACTGCGAGGTGCAGGACGTCTGTCGCAAATGTTAATGTACTACTTGATGCAGATTGATTACTTGACTAGCTAGAGTGACGAGGATATTTGATAAGTCATATGACGAGAATGAGTTGCAATTTCATATTTTCTGCGCGATGCGTGTATTATTTCCCTCGTGGAGTGGTTCTGAGAAAATTGCTGGCGTGTCGAAGATGCAGTACTCGGGAGCACTTTGTCAGCCACGATTTCGGGTATATATTCTTCTTCATGAGAACGAAATTTTCATCTCGTAACAACTGTTCAACGGAAGGCGTTGAAAAGTTTTCTCAATTCCAGAAATATAAAGTATGGTTCAGCTGAGTCCTGCGAGGAAAAGGGAATTCGTGGTTTAGTCGTTCAGTGTACAGTATCATACATTCTCTAGTCCTCTATATACTCACTCATTGAAATTCTCCGTATTTGATCGGCAGAGTTCGGTTTTCAGCTCGATTGATTCAAAAATGTAGGCTACGAATTTGACTCTTTGTCTCTTCCGAATAGTGTTCCGGGAACGCGGAGAAACGTAGAGCCGATACGGACATCATATCAGTAGAACCTCCTTCCAAGATATTTAGGCCAGATTTGGTGGTCAGAGAGCCGGAGTCTGTTGTCCCTTCCGCAGTCCGTGCAACGTATGAAAAGCCTACAATTCCTCCAAAAATTTTGGAACAAGCACGAAAAGCGAAGGTCTCGGATTTTGCTTTCACTCCTGATGGATTTGCCATCTGTTATACAGACGGATCCTGCAACAGTTCATTGAAAACGTCCGGAGTTGGAGTTTGGTTTGGACCGGATCACGTTGCGTAAGTATTTTTGTCGCTCATTTCCACTCTGGCCTGAAAATTCCGAAAATTGAATACATTTTTGTAATTGGCTTGTTCTTTGATTTGTTCAGTTTAGAATTACCTCTGTATATTATAACGCAGCTAGATAAACATTTTTCTGTTTCAAAGAAAGGCAATCCGAAATATTTTCTGACAACCGGCCCAATTTCGCTCACCCGGGTACGAGGTAGGTAGGCCTTAGAAGAAAATTCAACCCATGACTATGGGAGGAAATATTCTTTGCGTAATCTTCTATCATTTATGCATAAAATAGGGAACTATACACTGTGCTGCAGCATTACGTTATAGAAAGCAAATAATTGTCATTGTGCAGTGGAACAAAATCTCTTAACTTGGGACTTGGAAGCATTGTTGTTATCCACAAATCAGCTATGTCCTAAATGATACGAAACAGCTATTTAACACTTCTTTGAAGACCATTTCCCCGAAGAATCAAGCGGTATATTGTAATATACGTGTAGGTTGCTGTAAGTGATGCAGCTTTTGTGTAAGAAATTTTCTTGCGGCGCGAGATGAGGGCTATGCAAATGCAACCGCGCGATAGTTCCAACCGCTTTTCTTGCGAGTATTCACAAGTATTTCCGCCAGCAGCTTTTGTAGTCAATTTTTTGTATGAGAGTCTTGTTAACAACATTTTTATGAGGGCCAAAACTGCGCAAGATATTCTTTAATCGGATGAGTTCAATTGACTGGTAATTGGTACTATCACCATAACATTAGTTTTCATAATATCACCATATTATGAAAACTAATCCGAATGAGGGAAATGTCAAAGTGGTGGGTGCTGGATTTAGCTACCAAATGCTCGACAGATCGTTTACCTCGTTCGTCAAATTTTTGTTCATTCCTTCGTTTATATTTTGCAGGAACATTTCAGAGCCCCTGTCCGTTCCGGGCACGTTCAACCGTGCTGAACTGACCGCCGTGCTCTATGCGATCCACGTTGCAAAGGAAGCCGGTATAATGACAAAAAAATTTAGACAATCCGCATCCTACAATATGTTAAATTCATCCTGATGTTATGCCGCAGGTTTGAGTAAGTTAGAGGTCCGTACCGATTCGCTGTACGCCAAGAATTGCGCCGCTGTTTGGCTGCCGAAATGGAAACAAAACAATTGGCAGACAACCGCGAATAAAGATGTCCTGAATCAAAAGGAAATCCGAGCTATTGACGAAGCCTTCAATCATGTGGAAGTGAAATTTGTGAGTATTTTATATTTTATATACAGTATTAATTCGCCATGAGAAAATTCACTTGTATACTTTATGTAAAGTTTTAATAGATCGAATTTGTATCTCCTATTAATGTCTTTCTTTTTTCATCTGTCATTCTGGATACAGTATTTAAAGCATGCTACAAATATCATTAGACTGAAAACTTCCTTCACACCCTATGAAAGTTCAAGGTGCCTTTATTCACCTGAAATTGGTTGCATGATCATTATGTGCAATATTTGCGCCTTATGTTGTCACGGCATTCTTCAGTTTAATGTAGTGTCCTTTGAGAATCACGCATCTATCCGCAGAAAGAAAGAGACTACTGTACTGTACGTTACAAAGCTGAAAAATTTAAAACAATATAAAAGGTGATGGTGAACATGTTCACTAGTTCTTGTTCTGAGTGTTGCTTTCGTCTATAAATGCTTTTTATCTTCATAGCTGGCTCATTTTTCAAGAAATAATGCATACTTTCTTTTCTACAATCTTGTAGAAGTTGATACGAGCTTTTTCCGGGGAAGAAGGAAGAGAAGGTGCGGATCGATTGTCGAGGCTGGGTGCGGATGAATCCTTGAGAATTTCGAAGAGTTGAAACTGGCCCATTTATTGGATGTCTGAAGCATTTCGAAGATTGTATGATCTCTAACAATTTCCGGGATTTTCTCGCCTGAAGCAAGCAGAAGTTGAACAACGATTCAACTCCAAGCTTAGTGCATTTGTGTGGAAAGCTTCTTTTGTACAGTGCTTAACTCTTTGGAAGGTCGCCAAGTTGGTCCCTCAAATGCGCCGAGCTCACCAGTGCCAATCGTTTTCGGGGCGCTCCATTTTTTCGAATCGTGAATCCTGTTGTCACGGTATGATTGGAGGTTTCAAGGAATACGAGGGTCGTCCCACTTCTGGCGTTGGATATATTTCTAGAGTAGGTACAATTGTAAAAGAAAAAATTAGCTTATGCAATTGCAAGGTTCTGGGATTTTTTCAGAATTCTATAAAATTTTTAGATTTACTGCTGGATAAGTGAAAGCTTTCCAGTTCTTGTGAGAGTTCTTCGCCGACGTCACTGGCTGTTGAAACTTTTTCAGGCTGGACAAAATATTGAAATTTATTTTGTTTTTATTATAAACTCTCCTTCATCTTTTGCAATTTTCCAATTTTTAAGTGACTATTTTGTTCGCGAAAAAGGTTTTTTTCCCAATCTTTTCTATTTCCTTGTCGAAAACACCATCCAAGGTCTAGTTTTTGCCTGTGATATTTTCTTACTACTTCGAAACTGATAAAAATTTTTATTTTAATGTTCTGCCTCAAGGTTAGAAAGCAGGGTTGTATATGTCCAAGTACGGTTAAATCTTTTCCCGTGAGTCAGCCAATTTTCTTCCTGTTTGCCCAGGTTCCTCTCCTGTCTTCTTTATTCTTCTTATCAATCAGGTAAAAAATGAAATGAACGAAATTTATGCAAAAATTTCATGGTAAAAAGAAAAAATGGCATGGGCAGAAACTATAGGCCTTGAATGGAGAACCTTGCAATTGCCTGGGCTATACTTTTCACCTGTATACTTTTTACAACGGTACCCACTCCAGAAATACTCTACAGGAACAGGATAAAACTTCGAATGGTGGCTTTCTGAGAAAATTCGAGTTGGTAAAACGCGAACTTCTCCACAATTGCTTTTTGGACATTGTAAAAGAAGATGTTTTGTTTAAAAAAAGGGAGGAATCCTTGCATGGGGAAATTCGTCCCGATTCTTCCGCATCATTTGGAAAAATTTCGCAGAAATAGTCGTGTATGTAAGCATGAACAAAATAAAACAAACGAGCAAACTCAACAAGAACATGATCGTTGTGCTGTTGGAAAACTCTTCTGTTGGTTTTCGAAATACCAACATTGTCTGGTTGCTGTATCAAGAAATTTTTGTTAACCTGAGGTTCTGTTATTCAGCTGTTCCATTTTCTGGTACAAATTTTGTTCTCTAGGTCGTGCTTCGAACATTTGAAGTGGAAGTGTTCTGGATTTTTCTTCTTGATCTCGTGCGGTATCACGCTGGTCAGAAGGTGTCCGACGCGGGATTTACAATTCTTGGTGTGTAACCTTGTGTCCACCCTTCTAGAACACTAGTCAACTCAATTTCTTTTGCTTCATGTAGGGGAGAATGTGAGCAGCAGGTGTCAAGGTTTAGTTGGGCTGAGTTCAGGAATACAATACAGTACTGTACTTCGGAAGCGGCGAAAAATCACATGAATGTTCTGGCTCGTACCTTGGTGAGTTTTTCCCTCCAGTTCTGAAATTGTGTGAGATTCACGTAATTGTTTATATACTTGTTAAAAATATAAAATGTGATTTTATTTTTAATGAGGCTTTCCAAATGATTCGAGCACCATACTGAAGAGCTGCTTTTAAAGCATCTCTTGAGTTTGTTTTTTTTCAATTAAAACTTCGTTCATGAGGCAGTATTCAATCTTATTCTGCGTTTTATCCCCATTTGTATTCTGCTTTCGTCCAACTGCAATGTGCTGTATGAGACAATAAGGCAACAGCCATGAAAAACCTTTCTACTCATTTTGAGACAATGATATACTTTGACCAAGTTATTCCATCCTGCTTCAAGTTTGTTCTGTTGTTTTTCTTAATAATTTGTTATCCTGAGATCAAACTTGATCCTAAATTAGGGCTTCAACCCAGTGAACCTCAAGCAGAAACAAACTGCCATCTCTAGCAGGAAGACAACTAACCAGCCTTGTCGCTCAAATAACGTCAAGTTTTCAAATCTTGACATGAGTTTTTTGTTCACTTGGTGGGTTTTAGAGAACCCCCCCCCTCATTTGTTCTGCAATTTTCATCCACCAAAAATCTTGTCTTATGCGCGAAGCTCCTCATGCCTCCATCCTCGAAGCATTTCCTCCCCTGTATAATCATATCCAGACATTTGTAGTACTTGTTACTCTAGTACTGTAGTATACTTCAGTATATACATTTTCTTGTCCTGAAAAAAGGGCCACACTTATCTAGAAATGGCAGTGCCACTATGTGAACTTTATCTTCGTCGGGAACTTTTTTGACCTCATTCTGGCCTCACTCGAAAGTGATTGAGTACGAATTGAAATCAGCAAGATCAGTGTTTCCCAACCTTTTTTGCTCGCGGTCCTGCAAATTTTAACGAAATCTTTTGCGGGCCGGCACATTGTCATGAAATTTTTCCACAGACCAGCAAAATTGCTGACAATTTTTGATGACCAGAAATTTTTTTTAAAATACCAGCCATTCTGATATCAGTAGTGTACTATGCTGTACTGATGAAATGATTCCTCTTCTTTGTGTAACTTTTAGGAAGAATAAAACCTAGCCGGAGTTCTTTTTCAATTTGATGGTTATATATGAAGTACAGTACAGTATTGGAAATTTTTTTTCCAATTGCCAATCGAGTAAAGCATCATCAGCGCTGACGCAGGTTGGTTACCGTAATTTTCGCGGAGTGCTGATTCCTTCGACAGGACAACTTGTATAATTTAAAGATCAGGGATTTTCGTCGATCAGTAATTGAAGCTCCTGATATTACAGTATGTTCAGTTCCGTTGAGGTAAGAATAAGCTTCGGAAATCTAATGTTTGTATGAGATTCAGATATAGCTGCCTCTTTTGAGAATGAAAATGTCCTTACTCTAGTTCTTGTCAGCTGAAATATGGAAGTAGAATGTCCCAGAAGTTGTTTATTATATTATTACCCATCTCTAGACGGTGGAGGATCAATTTTCTTCCCCAGATGTTGAAGGGTTTTGTTTCTGTTGCCAATTTTGAGATGTTTTTCCCAAGCAGGTGTTGTCTGGGGCAATTCTTTTTGTAATTCTTTTTGCTGACCGGAGTGACAACTGCTCGGAAAGATTTATGAGGACTGGAAGGTTCAATTTGCATAGGCCACCTGGAAGCTGTAAATCTGTTGACTGTCTGTGAGGTGATTTGNCGTGCTTTAAAGTGGATTTCTGACTCCATCAATGGCCGACAACGGTTTTTTTTTCTGCTGTTGACCACTTCCATCGCTTCATTCCCGGAAGTTGGTGGGGGTTTGTTCGGAAGAAACGCAAAGATTTTAGTCCTTTGTACAGGAAGTATGCAACAAGCAGTTTTACAACTTAATTGACGGGCCATTGAGTTTCGCGACAGTGAACGGAAGACAGCTGCATCAATAGCTTCCGACGACAGACACTTCCGGAATGGAAGCCGTTGACGGGGCCCCGAAATAAATAAAGGATTAGATTTGTGTGGACAATTGAGAATGTAAGAGTCTTCATTTCCTTGCTTCGGGATAGTTTATAGGAACTTCAAGAGGAAGTAAATAAATGTGCTGAGAATTACGAAAGTGATCAAATGATTTCGATCCTTTGTTATCATGCAAGTGTTGTGTTATGCCTCGTTCTTTAATTTGGTAGAAGAGCGATTGGACGAGGTAGTCGAAAAATTTCTTCGTTGAGAACCGCGGACTTCGAAGAATCTTGTAATATATCCTGATGAAGTGATAAATGTTGGGGCTGAATATTTTCAATGAAACGATTCAGAGAAAGGCGGATATAAAAGCGGGACTTTTTTTCAATTTGGCGGCATGTTTATCCTTTGTGTCAGACTTCGAAGAATCTTGTAATATATCCTGATGAAGTGATACATGTTGGTGCTGAATATTTTCAATGAAACGATTCAAAGGAAAGCTAATAGCCGGGAGACTATTTTTTCAATTTGGCGGCATGTTTATCCTTTGTGTCCATGAGAGTAGTGACACCCTATTGTGCTTACCTTGTCCTGAATGGGGAGATTAGACGGATTCAGGGACATTGAGGAATCGCTGGGAACACTAAGGATTTACTGTACATGAGTATTGGAGTTTCCGAGATTTATGAGAGCATTGTCATCTCACGGAGCGGGTTGACATTGATAAACTGTTTAGAGTCGGCAAACTTAGAAAATGCCTTCTAGTTCTCTTTCGAAATGAGCGGACAATTGGCTCATTTTTCGCGGCGGGAATAGGCAAAATTGAAGGGATTGTTTTTCAAGGAACATGTATTGTTCTGGTGCAGCTGGTGGAAAATCGGCAACAGCTCGTCTTACAGCAGTGAGATACCGACAATCCGACCGATTTTCTGCGGAAGGTGTCGGGTGAAACAGTCGTCTCCGGTGATCTTAAATCTGCCGAAAGAGACACAAGAATGTGAAACCGGAAACCGTAATTCTGTCCAATTTTTCAAAGTGGTTGCTGAGATTTCCTGTTGGTTCCCTGCTGTTTTGAGTGGTTCGAAGGGTTTTGGGGTGAGCTTGTTCTGCTCTAATAACGCTAAAAGTCGCCCGGTTAGTGTGACGCCATTAAAAATGTCAGTGAACTGAGCTTTCCGATTTTTGATGGAGTTACAGTAAAGTACTTGCTCGATTTTTTGCGGTGTATCGCTGGATGAGCTGACTGGAGTCACTGTATTCGTTTTTTTTTTTTTTTGTTCAACGTGATGCTGATTTTCAGTGCTTTTTGCTGAATTTATAACTTGAATTATGCTGTTGACGATGTCCTTCAAATTTTCGCAAGTGATACTGTTCTTCCTAAAGTCTTCTACTGCAATGAGTCAAACCTGGTTTCCGAATTGTATGAGATTAATATACTATATTCTAAGAGATCCTATAGTTGATTCCTCATTTTTCAAAACTTTGGTTCCAAGTATTTTACGATTCATTGAAAATATGTTTGAAGGATCTCTTCAAACAAGAGTCCCTGAATCCACAAACGGCTGCATGTTCTCATTTTTCTGCTTCACTTGAAGTTTCATATGGAGAGTATAGGGCTATAGGCCACGCGCGCTTCCGGCGCACAGCACTTCGACTTCTCATTTCAGGCCAATCAGGAGGCTTTGGCTGACTCGATAAAGCGGGTATATAGCTGGCCGTAGTTCGTGTCTGAGGCAATCTGCGCACAGCTTTGGACCATGGAAGTCTCCGCCTGGTGCGCAGGAAGACTGACTCCGTCGAATTCCGGCGGTCACCCTTCCTCGCGCGCCGCAGAGACGGCAATTAATAAGTGCAGAGGTCAACGCTCTCTGAAAAACCACACGACCTGTCAGCACGGAACACCCCGATTAAACAACCACAGGTAGAGTCCTGTGAGTACTAAGTCAAGATACACTTCTCGCAAGCTAAGACTACGAAGAATAAGCTACCTCCTGAAGCGACATCGACCAAAAACTGGTACGCCCTATCGCATCGTCCTTCACCAACGTCCTTGGTGCCAGTGTTCTGAGCATGGGGAATGGGAATTCATGTCGTGAACTCTTAGGCTGTATGACTCAGAATCGAGTTTTGGTTCAGTGCTTATGGGCACGAATTTCTCAACTGTTCGATTGTTAGAAAGGGTACTCTTCCCCCTTGTCAGGGGAGGTTTTGGTGATCGGCACAGCGACTGACGGACTTTCTTCGATTTTTCCCTGTGTTATTCCTTTTCTCACACGCGTTCAGGTTTTGGCGTAAACGTGACGTGGCTTGCTTGTTGAACTATAGAGCCACCCTATGAAGGGAAAGGTTTTCCGAAGGTCATAGCACGTGTAACGTCGACGGACTGATGGATCTGTTCATTTTCTGATGCTTAATGAACTTGAACCCTTACATCACTACTGGTGGGGCTTATGTGGCCTGCGTGCTTGTGATGATATCCGTAAGCGTGTGGGTATTCATAGCATGGAACGCCTAGGTACAGCGCAAGTTGACATGGTCATTTCCGAATAGCTGCTGCGTGCAATCCAAGTTCAATAAGGGTTGTTCCTTAGCAGAGCCCATGTTTCTGGTAGTACGTTTCATGATTATGTTCATCGTCGAAGGATTATTTCCATTCAAATCGACTGTGCGATCCGGTGAGAGGACTATTGTGTATGGTCAAAGTAGAACGGAGTT